GTAGGCCGTTTTGACAAAAATGAATGGGCCAAAGGCCGTTTTGATGTAAATGAATGGGCCAAAGGCCGTTTTGACATGAATGAATGGGCCAAAGGCCTTTTTGACATGAATGAATGGGCCAAAGGCCTTTTTGACATGAATGAATGGGCCAAAGGCCTTTTTGACATGAATGAATGGGCCAAAGGCCTTTTTGACATGAATGAATGGGCCAAAGGCCTTTTTGACATGAATGAATGGGCCAAAGGCCGTTTTGACATGAATGAATGGGCCAAAGGCCGTTTTGACATGAATGAATGGGCCAAAGGCCGTTTTGACATGAATGAATGGGCCAAAGGCCGTTTTGACATGAATGAATGGGCCAAAGGCCGTTTTGACATGAATGAGTGGGCCGAAGGCCGTTTTGACATGAATGAGTGGGCCGAAGGCCGTTTTGACATGAATGAGTGGGCCGAAGGCCGTTTTGACATGAATGAGTGGGCCGAAGGCCGTTTTGACATGAATGAGTGGGCCGAAGGCCGTTTTGACATGAATGAGTGGGCCGAAGGCCGTTTTGACATGAATGAGTGGGCCGAAGGCCGTTTTGACATGAATGAGTGGGCCGAAGGCCGTTTTGACATGAATGAGTGGGCCGAAGGCCGTTTTGACATGAATGAGTGGGCCGAAGGCCGTTTTGACATGAATGAGTGGGCCGAAGGCCGTTTTGACATGAATGAGTGGGCCGAAGGCCGTTTTGACATGAATGAGTGGGCCGAAGGCCGTTTTGACATGAATGAGTGGGCCGAAGGCCGTTTTGACATGAATGAGTGGGCCGAAGGCCGTTTTGACATGAATGAGTGGGCCGAAGGCCGTTTTGACATGAATGAGTGGGCCGAAGGCCGTTTTGACATGAATGAGTGGGCCGAAGGCCGTTTTGACATGAATGAGTGGGCCGAAGGCCGTTTTGACATGAATGAGTGGGCCGAAGGCCGTTTTGACATGAATGAGTGGGCCGAAGGCCGTTTTGACATGAATGAGTGGGCCGAAGGCCGTTTTGACATGAATGAGTGGGCCGAAGGCCGTTTTGACATGAATGAGTGGGCCGAAGGCCGTTTTGACATGAATGAGTGGGCCGAAGGCCGTTTTGACATGAATGAGTGGGCCGAAGGCCGTTTTGACATGAATGAGTGGGCCGAAGGCCGTTTTGACATGAATGAGTGGGCCGAAGGCCGTTTTGACATGAATGAGTGGGCCGAAGGCCGTTTTGACATGAAAGAGTGGGCCGAAGGCCGTTTGACATGAATGAATGGGCCAAACGCCGTTTGACATGAATGAATGGGCCAAACGCCGTTTGACATGAACGAATGGGCCAAAGGCCGTTTGACATGAACGAATGGGCCAAAGGCCGTTTGACATGAACGAATGGGCCAAAGGCCGTTTTGACATGAATGGAAACCCGGATGGGCCAAAGGCCAGAATGTTTGGAACTACAGTTACTTGACTTGCATTTCGTATAGTTATATACATATTTGGTTGTTAAACAGAAGTATGAATTGGGCCCAAGGCCGTTTGGAGCATGTTGTACCACATATTGTTATGTAACTGTTGTATTTGAAATTATTCACTGGGCTATCGCTCACGCTCATTCATGTATTTGTAGGTGAGCCAAGGGAAGTCCAAACCCAGCCCCAGTGAAGTCTGCTAGAAACAACAGGAGTTTTGGGAGAGTCAGCCTTGTGCCTCGCGCATGAGACCATCCTTGCCCTTTCACTATGTACCTATGTTTTGTCTTGTTGGCAAGGACCTAGTGCATGTCTGTACATAGTCTGTTATAGGTTGACTCGTTTTGGACGATCCTGTCTGTAATGAATTTTGTGAAACCGTACTTTTGATGTGAGTTATTAACGTATCTGAGTATGGTTTGTTTGATGTGCATATAAGCACGGCTCTATGGACAAAGTTTTTAATTTTGCTTCCGTTTGGCCCCCATTAACTCTGTTAAAATACGTTTACAACAGTTTGAGGCCGTAGGTAATCTCATGATTACTGGCCGGTTACGTCCTTAACCCACGGGGGCGAGTTCGGGTCGTGACAGAGAGAGAGAGAGAAGAAAGTGAGATTATTTCTTGTTTTTAAAATGTTTTTCACAAGCTTCCTTATATCTTTTACCAATCATTTCCTTGTCTATTCAAGCTGTCTTATTAGCCGAAAGTCTATGGTCTACTCGTCGTCGGTCATGGAAGTTTCACCATACCACGAAACAAAAGGTCTTGTTGCATTTAATGCCATGACAGCCTCATTTAATGCCTGATACCTCGGCTCAATAATTCTACATGATCTTTATCTGCCATGTGGCTAACTCCATATCTAATGGGTGTTTAAATGCCATAGGGCCTGGACCAGTGCAGTTCTTTGGTGGGTTTGCTGTTGAGTTTCACCTACCAGTCCATAACTAAATGACCACTTGGGCCATCCAAGACAGTTGTGGGTTAGGCTGTTCCTGGGCCATGTGGGTCATGCTTATCATAAAGAAACAAAGATATATCAATTTGCTTTCCAGTGAAGTTTAGAAGCCACTTATCAAATTCTAGTTTAACAATTTTCATCTTACTATCACTTAGGGAAGGTAACAGTGACCATACCATCCTCTTTCTTCACTTGCATATTATTTCTTTTCACATTACGAGGCAACATCCAAAATCTATTGAATGACCCTGACTCTTTTGTGCCTGTTTGCTTTCCATATATTTCAAGGAGGTTAATTTGGCTTATAGTAGTTGTAAATACATTCCAATCGTTACGCCGAACATTTGGAAAATTGAGTGTATATACAAAAGCATTAGGAGTCTCCGTCTCAACGATCTCAATCTGGCTAAGCCTTTCCCCCATTTCCGTAAGAGAATTTATTGTGCTTTGAATCCATGGATCTTTACTGCTACAACTGCTACTACCACTATTACTGCTACTATTGCTGCTTGATTTGCCACCTTTTGATTTTGACTTTCCAAAGAAAGACATCTTTATCTTTATGTGTTTCGATTCATTACGGAATTGATTTAAGACCTTGTACATTGTTTCCTTCATGGTCATAGCTACTCGTATGCCACTCAAATTATATTACTATGAAAAGATAGTGTTTTTATAAATTTCAATAATTGGGCTGTGAAAATCAATAATATTTGTTGTATCCGTTTCACAATGTAATAAAATAAAAACAAGTAATAATAACTAAGAAAAAAAATCATTACAAACAATTACATAAATATGCATACAACGGAGAAATTAAGCATAGAGTTTATATATATATATATATATACATACTAAGGTCAACATTCAATTATTAATAAAAGAACCTAATAACCAAAGCACTTCAAGAAAGGTTTCTTAGGTTTCTTCAGGGTTAGATACTGCTCCATGGCCATCGTCTTGGATGTCTTCTTAAGTTCTCGTGACGGGAAGTTGTTATGACCTCCTCCCGGATGCCAACCCGCTGCTTCTTGATGAAGAATCCCTCATTCTTTTCGAAGGTAACAATCTTATTTTTCTCCCGGTGTGAGTCTTCCCTGGTTTTAGTTTTGGTGACGATGGTGTTTTTTTCTTGCATTAATGCCAGATCCTCAGAGGTGGTCTCCCCAACCATGTAGTGTTGGTAGATGTTCTCATATGAATTAGAATTGCCCTGGGGAGAAAGTGTTGTACTAGCTTGCTATTCAATGGGAAGATTATTTTGATCCCCTTGGTATATGTAGTAGTAGTCATTTGGATTCACATAATTTGTCATTTCTAAAACCCTCAAAGAAAGAATTAAGAATTTGGGAAACCACTCAGAAAGAAATCACAAACTATGGTTGAAGTAAGTTTTCACGATGAGCAAATAACAGCCATGTCCAAACCCTTATATAGATGTTAAGATCTCTTATGACCAAAGAAAGGGAAGCCAAGTCTTTTATTTTTTATTATTTAATATTGATGGAGTGAAGCATCTCAAGGCTTGGATTTTGTTTGCACATCAAATTTTGGTGCTTTTGCTTACCTTAAATTGGTTTTTCTCTAGTATTATTGCTTGTTTTTTTTATACAACCATGCTAGATCTCACCAATATAGCACCACTAATTTATCCTTAATGACATAGAAGAGAGAGATATAGAGAAAAGTGTTGGCTCACCCCTTTATATGATTCATTTCTCGTCACTAGGAAGTGGATTAGTGATGCCAGATTGGCGCTCCAAGCCATTTGTTTTGGGCTATCTTTATCCTTATTTTTTAGCATTGTGGGTATGCTTGTACAATCAGTGCTAGTCTTTTGCACTTTTAAGCTTTCATGCTCTGCGTTTGGACTTTGTGTTGATGTAAAATCGTCCCAATAAATTTTCTTTATCTATTGGAAAATAAAAAATAAAAAATAAAAAACAAAAAACGAAAAACGAAAAACGAAAAACAAAACTAAAAAAAAAAGAAGCAATAAACCACTTTTTTTTAGATTAAAAAAACCAAAATGGAGATGTTTATCTCCAATCCACTATGTGAGTTGGAACGTA